TCGTTCATTATAAAGGATTAACATGTCGGATTCCCTTGGAAATGTGGATTTATTGAAGGATTTCAAAATTTTGTTCTATCCTAAGAGGAAAAGGCAAAAGCACATACTGAACAAAGTGATATTCTTTAAAGTTTAAAGGAATGATCTTGTTGTTTGTTCGAAAAAATATATAGTGACATAGGATACCGTATAGGACGATTTAACCTGAGAAACTACCTTACTGAATCGAGTGAATCGATAGGTCGAACGGAAATCGAAGGCGCTATCGATTACAGAGCCCTCAGGTCGAGGAAGACATTGCAGTTCCAAGGAGCATAGACAAATTGATCTAGGGCCCACTAATGGCCTAGTTAAAACTCGACCTTAAGGCATGGTTGGTCAACGGATCGACCAGAAGAGCAGAGCATACGAGCTTAGCATAGGGAGCACTCTACCTTGAGGCACATCGAGTCATTTGTATAATTAGACTGTCTAATAAGGCATACTAATTAACAAGGAATATTATAAAGATAAGAACCACAAGTGGATAGGATCACTTGGCCTAACGAAATTGGGCAGTACATACGGATAGTCCATCCAGGTAGTCTTGGGCAACAAGTTAACACCCCTATATTAAGGGGTGAGGTATGTCCATTTACACTCTACATTCTTTACGTACTTTATACATGCAGAACTTTACACTACTGTTCATAGTATTTTTCATCTGCGGACTTACTTGATCGTCGAAATGTTAACACTGTAATCTGTCTCGCCCTATTTTGCAGGTCTACGAACAAGTCAGAGAGTATATCAGGTCGTGCGAACGCAGTCTAGGTTGTTTGTATACTATTTTAGCATCGTTTGTGGGACCTACATTCAAAAGTAATCAATCACCATAGCCATGGTGAACGAAGCTCCAAAGAAGAACTTGGAACACACTCTTGACGAAGCGTGGATGACCACGCATCCGCTCAGAGCAGGTCCACCATCGAGATTCTATATGCCGTTTTAGACCCCCGATGCCTAACCCTTTGGATAGAAAGCTCCTTGACAGTCCCAGTGCCAGTCGCAGGCCTGAGCAACTTGGCAGAGCTAAGATCGAACACCGAGGTCGTGGTTCGGTTCTACCCAGACGGGGTTAGATCTAGTTGTCGTCTTGTTAATGGGACCACCAAGGAGCACTGTAGAGCCAACATGCCAAAAGCTCGCCGCTCTGTCAAAGGCGGACTTGGGCAAGATAATCGTCGAGGTAGTGGCGGCCAGGTGCGCTCAGCAGCAGATGTCCAACGCATTAACTGTCACTGCTACCACAAAGCGAGATAAGGAGGTCAAAATCTCGAGTAGCATGGGTAGAGGTCCACTTGACACTCTCATGGTGGAGAAAATGGTCGAACAGTTGAGGTCGTTGCAGGCAAAGGTTGAAGGGAAAAACCCGAGGAGAGCTTGTGGTCACCCATGCATTCGCGTAGAGGATTTTGGAGGCTGCCCTGTCGAATGGATCCAGAGAGCTCAGCATCACGTATGACGGGTCTACAGGTCCAGCTTGACACTTAAGGTCATTTGAGAACATGGTGGTTTTGCATGGATACTCAGATGCGGTGAGTTATCGGGCGTTTATGGCGACCTTACGTGGAGGAGCGCAAGATTGGTTCCACCAGCTCACCCCATGGTCGATCAAGGACTTTGAGGAGTCACAAACATGTTCCTCAATCAATTTGTCATTGCGAGGTCATAGAAGAAAACCTAATTTACACTGATGGTTATGCAGCAAAAGAGTGGAGAGACTTTCAGAAAGATTTGTTGGTCGATACACTCGGGCTTGTGTGGAGATTTCGTTGGCCTTGGAGGAGATCAAAGATGGAAGATTGATGAGGGGTCTATGAATTGGTCCGTGCAGAAGCTTGCTGGCTAACAAACCGATGATACCTAAGATGAGGTTTTGTGGTGAAAATAAACATGGAAGAGGCAGAAGTCGAATTTTCCAAGTTGGAGAAATTTTCTCGACTTGAGACAAAAAAAAAGTAATGGTTCTTGAAGAAAGAGAGCAGATGGAAGAAGAGAGGATCAGTGGAAAGGTTAACCTATGCGCGATGGCAGAGGTACGGAAAGTACGTATGCCCTCAGAGGTGATATCAGGCAGAGGTGCTGGAGACCGTAGATAGAAGCTTGGCAGAAACATGGTGACCTGGCCAAGGTCGAGAAATAAGGGCCCCACTCAACCCAAGACAGGGCTATAATGCAGATTCCATAGGGACTACGACAACACCAACAATAATTTTCATCATCTCAAGAAAGAGATCGAGAGGTTGATCTGAGTTGATCACCTCAAGGAGTTTGTATACAAGGATAGGGAATGGAAAGATCGAAGGAGGGAGGACAGTGATCGAGGAAAGAAACAGAGAGATCGAGATGAAAGGGAGGATGAGGAGAATGAAGCCCCACCGAAGAGGGGTGTAATTCACAAGATTGCAGGAGGGCCTATGGATGAAGACTGGAACCATGCAGAAAGCAACATGCTCCAGCTGGTAAAATTAAAATAGAGGAGGTCAGTTTTGCAGCCCGAGAATCGGTGACAAGCTTCAAGGCCGAGGACATCAAAGGCCTGCACATGCCCCATTAACAATGATTTAGTGATCTCAAAGGAGGTCACGGGCTATGACATACGGTGGATATTTGTTGACACTGGAAGCTTAATATATAGATTCTACGATTGCTTTAAACAGATGAATTGTGTTTTAGTAATATACAATTTTATAAAATTGTTCTAATCTTATTTTCAGCAAAGAAGCTGAGTAGATGACAAGTTTATGTCATAAAACAACTATTCATCAATTAATCTTTTATATTATTACGTATTTTTTCTTTATTTATTTATTTATTATTATTATTATTATTTTTGAACCGAGATTGTGGCTCTCTTAAAAAAATTATTATTATTATTATTATTTTTTAACCGAGATTGTGGCTCTCTTAAAAAAAATAAAGAAAAAATGCGCAATAATATACAAGATTAATTGATAAATAGTTGTTTTACAACATAAACTTGTCATCTACTCAACTTCTTTTCTTAAAATAAGATTATAACAATTTTATTAGAGCCACAATTAATCTTTTAAGAGAGCCACAATTAACTTTTCTTAAAAGATTAATTGATGAATGAATAAGATTGCGGCTCTCTATAGAATGAATAGAATGTTGATGATATAAATACCAATGTTCTTATAATCATCGGACCGGCCAGTTTGACTGGGAATTGCTTAATAGCTGTTGCAATCGGCAAAAACCGGTGAAACCATGAAAACCGGTGACGGTTAGTTTGGCTGACCGGTGGAGTGTTCCATTTTGAACAGAGATTGTTGTAGAGTAACTTAAATAGCTAAATGGTTTTGGTTGTTTGTCCGATGTGGCATTCTTACAAATACAGGTTAACTGAAATTATTGGGCCGTATTGCCTTGTTGGGCCTTCGTAATCTATCATCTATTTTGGTCATTATGGACATAAAACATGGGCCTTACTAATCTGCGTCTGCCATCTATTTTGGGCAGGAAACGTGGAGAGCTCTTGAAAAGAAGTGTACTAACAATCGCTATTGTAAGTGTTAAATATGTCTTATTTTCAAAAAAAAAAAAAAAAAAAAAAAAAAAAAAAAAAAAAAAAAAAAAAAACCCTTAAATGCCTCATATGAATAGTTAAAAAAAGTTGTTTTTTAAATTTATGGTGAGACGAATTTCTCTTTCATTATAGTCGCATTAATTTTTATGAAAACAGTATTACTTATTATTATTATAATATCGTGGTGCTAAAATATTAGACTTTACAAGATTCTATATTTATTTATTTATAAACATGTCGTCATACACTATAAAATTAATGATAAAAATATATAGAATTGTATATTATACATATAAAATAAATATAAATTATATGTTAATTCAACCGATTTGAACATTGGTCTGACCATTGAACCATTGAACCGGTAGATTCACCGGTTCGGTTTTCATAACCTTGATAAATACAACTATAGTTGTCAAATACAGAATGACCACTTTATACTAACTCTATTATAACTTAAAGTTGTTAACTACATAATAACAACTTCTGCCTATTACTAATAGTAAAATGTAAAATTATAAAATATTTAATTAATTTCACTAATAGTAACTGATAACTTGTAATTTTTGCGTGCATTAACTTTTGAAATGCATGTATTAAAAGTAGAAGAAAATATAAAATCTAATCCTACTTACTTAAAACATACTCGATTAATTAAGAATATCACTAAAGCCAATGGCTGAAATTTTAGTTGATTTTTCAAGTTTATAAATACTACAATAATTGACTTTACTCCTACGGTAAGCCAAAGTGTGCACCAAAGTGATCAATGGTTGAAATTTTAGATGATTTTTCAAGTATAATGATAAAGTTTCGAACTTTATTCTTTGGAAAATGTTATGGTCTCGTTACGGAACCATCCCGTCAACTGTTTTAACCGGATCATCTATCTTATACTAACTACATGTGTATCTAACGGTTATAACTCTCGATGGGATGGTTCCTTAAGGTGTAGTATTTCTCTTATTGGTTATAGAAAACCAAGCGTGAGCATTAATTCTTGGTGATTTTTGTTAGTCTAGCAAATGCCCCTCGTTCTATCAAAACAAGGTAAAATTTTATTTTTGGTCCATTATATTGGCCATTTTTCAGAAATGGTCCACTAATTTGGCGGACATTAAACTTGATACAATAAGTTGTAAAATTTATCATTTTTGGTCCATTAATAACTCGGGCTGGATAACGAGCCTACGTGGCGGACATCAAACTTGTCCACGTATTCGCCCTATAAAACGCCACGTAGGCTTATGGACAAAAAATGATGAATTTTACAACTTATTTTATCAAGTTTGATGTCTGCCAAATTAGTGGACCATTTCTGAAAAATGACCAATATAATGGACCAAAAATGAAATTTCGCCATCAAAACAATGTATAATAAAAAGTCTATGATAAGATTAAAAACACATTACTTATAACAACATCCACTTAATTTCTTTTGTGATTTCTTGCATTCTTTTCTCGTCCATAAATCGAAAGATGAAGAACTATGGCTCCTTATCAACTCCAGATTTTTCAAGTCATAATTCGACTTATTCTCAAGCTTATTGGCCTTGAGCTGACAAACAGCAGCAGCAATAGCAGAAGCTGGAAACGCGGCATTTAGCGATATTTGCATCAGCGATTTCGACGACAACTTCTCGTAATTCAAAACCGAACACATTTTCATTTTCTCTTCTTCACTTATAAATTCGTGAACCTGTCGACAAAAAAACCGAGACTCAATATATTTTCAGAGAAGGAGATAGTTAAAGAAAAGAAAAAAAATCTTAATACCTTAAAATACATGTCTAAGGCGTCGAAAACTCTGTCATGAGTCTCCCTAGCCGAGTCCGGTAGGCACAGGGCTAACCCTAGAAATGTGCACGGCGTGAGCTCTCGATCGGGCGCCACCTCAGCAAGATACGAATCTAGCAATTCGCCCACTT